TTGGTCTTGGAGAAACTACACGAGCAAGGACTATATGCCAAGTTGGAGAAGTGTTTATTTCACCAAATAGAGATGCAGTTTTTGGGATTCGTTGCGACTACGGAAGGCTTGAAGATGGACCCCAAAAATGTGGAAGCAATCGTGTCTTGGGAGGTTCCGAAGACAGTTAGAGACGTACAATGTTTTCTTGATTTTGTCAACTTCTATCGGATCTTCATCAAGAATTACTCTCAAGTTGCTGGTCCTCTCGCTTGGTTGACATGCAAGGATAAGCTGGAATGAGGACCTCTAGCAGAGAAGGCGTTTCAAGACCTGAAGACCGCATTTACTATGGCTCCAATCTTGATGCATCCAAACTTTACAAAGGCCTTTTATTTAGAAACTGAAGCTTCGGATTTTGCTTTGGGAGCTATACTTTCACAAATGGGAGAAGACAAGAAGCTCTATCTGGTTGCATTCTACTCTCGAAAGTTCTCTACTATTGAAATCAATTATGAGATCCACGATAAGGAACTTCTTGCTATAGTGGATTCTTTCCAAGAATGGCGTCATTTTCTTGAAGGAAGTACACACCCAGTGACCGTATACACAGATCACAAGAATTTGGAGTATTTCATGTCGGCTCAAGTTCTAAATCGACGTCAAGCTTGGTGGAATATGTCTCTATGTAGGTTCGATTTTGTTATCACTTATCGACCTGAAAAGCAGCAAGGACTATCTGATGCCTTATCGAAGAGATCGTATCTTGTACCAAAGGTTGGAGAAGCAGCATTTGATCAACAATGTACGACGTTGTTGAAGCTAGAGGAATTTCGGCTTTATACCACTATTGTGTCAATTGATGCTGACTTCTTGAATCAGGTACGTGCCGTGACCATTGAAGATTCAGTAGCCATTGATATCAAGCAGTGTGCCAATGACAACAAGTTTAAGGTGGAGGGAGATCTTTTATACTTTGAGGAGTAGTTGTATATCCCAAAAGGACGAGTACGACTCCGAGTTCTTCAATCTCGCCATGATTTTCCAACTGCGGGACATTTTGGATTCAACAAGACCTTGGAGCTTATTTCTCGAGATTTTTGGTGGTCCCAAATGTGGAAGGATGTGAAAGATTTTGTCCTCTCCTGTGACATCTATTCAAGATCTAAGAATCCTCGGCATCACCCTTATGGACTCTTGTAGCCATTGTCGGTTCCACGTCGACCATGGTCTTTAGTTTCCATGGACTTCATCACGGACCTGCCATCATCGAACTTATTTGACAGCATCTTTGTCGTGGTAGATCGGGTTACAAAGATGGCACACTTTGTCCCTTACAAGAAGACATCATCCAGTGAAGTCACAGCAAGGCTCTTTTTCGATAATGTGTATCGATATCATGGACTACCAAATGATATCGTATCAAATCGAGGAACCTAGTTCGTATCAAAGTTTTGGAGATCTCTCTTTGAGATACTGAAGGTGGATATCAAGCTTTCTTCGGCTTTTCATCCTCAAACTGATGGCCAAACGGAATGGATGAACCAAGTCTTGGAACAATACTTATGATGCAGCATCAACTATCAGCAAGACGATTGGACCACATATCTGTCGTTAGCCAAGTTTGCATATAACAACACCCTCCATGCGTCGACTCCATACACGCCATTCTTTTCCAACTATAGGTATTATCCGAAGCTTGATTTATTGAGTCCGTCAACAAATGACAATCTTGTAGCTGAAGGATTTACAAAACAACTATCAGAGCTTCAAAATACATTGAAGTTTCAATTACAATCCACTCAAGAATCCTACAAGGCGTTTGCAGATAGATTTCAAAATCAAGCACTTACTTTCAAAATTGGAGATAAAGCATGGCTTCTTCGACGGAATATCAAGACCAAGCGACCATGTGATAAGTTGGACTATCGATGATTGGGACCATTTATCATTCAAAAGTAAATCAATCTAGTGGCGTACCATCTGGAATTACCGGCTTCTATGAAGGTACATCCAGTCTTTCATGTTTCTTTGTTGGAGCCTTATCAAGAGTCGTCTTTTCCTGGAAGAATGCAATGTCCACCACCTAGTATTGAGATTGAGAACCACGAGGAATACAAGGTTGAAAATGTGCTAGATTCACGACAAAGATGGGACAAGTTGGAGTATCTTGTTCATTGGAATGGCTACGACATTAATGAGCAAAGATGGGAGCCAGCTGAAAATCTCGCCAATGCGTCGCAAAAGGTACAGGAATTTCATCAACAACATCCTCATAAACCTAAGCCGGTTCGACAATAGCTTCCTTCTAAAGCTTGCTTACCCAAGAATATAAGAAAGGGGGAAAGCACCACCAAAATTCCTAGTTGATGTAGTTATTTTTTCCAAGATAAAGTAGAATTTTTTTAGTAGCCATAGTTTGGTCTTCTGATATGGATAGCTAAGAGATATATACTATGCCAGTCAGATTATCTCAACCGACTAGCTCACGAAGGCGACCCCGAGATGAAGAACCGCCTACACCACGACGACGACAGAAGATACCAAGTAACCGATCATTGGTGATTGTATTTGAGATGGAGCCTGCTTACGATGGTCAGCCAGAAGGCGTGTTTGCAGGACAATTTGACAATGAAAACACGGAAGTTCATGCTTGGTCAGAAGTTGAAGGAGTGGGCCACTATTGTTGGCTTCAAGGGCCGATGAACCACTTCCCTTGTAAACAACAGTTGGAGTTCATAGCAGACGTTATGCGACAGATCTTCATTTTCTTGCTTTGGTACTGATTAACAACAACATTGCTTCTCAGAGACCTCGAAGCTAAAGGAGGGGGTGATGTTAGGGACATAGTCCTTAGAACCTTCTAGAGACAAGTTTTTAGAACCTTCTAGAAGCAAGTCTCTGAAACCTTCTAGAAGCTTCCTAGTTAGTAGAAGATGTTAGGGACATAGTCCTTAGAACCTTCTAGAGACAAGTTTCTAGAACCTTCTAGAAGCAAGTCTCTAGAACCTTCTAGAAGCTTTCTAGTTGATAGAAGTTGCTTGAGAAGCTTCCTAAATAGGAGTATATATTGGAATCGAGGCTAAAGAGTTCTTCAGTCTCGACAACACATCTCTTGGAGCTCTAGCTCACCTCTCTGGTGTTGTTCTTGTATTCATCTGATTAATCTAGTTCTTGTCAGTTCTTCTTGAACTTCTTGTTAGATCTCGAGTCTGTATTTCTGTGTCCGTGACAATATCAATACATGTGACATGTGACTAACTTGTTGACCAAGTTTTTAACCTATCAATCAACTACAAACATGTGTAAAGTCAAAGCTACATCTATGAAGCTTCTAGGAAGCTTTTTTAAAAGATATTATGAAATTAATTTAGTTTTACCTACTTCTATCTAATTATATAGGTAAATATTGGAGTAAGTATATATGTCCGTGATAATATTTATTTCCATTGTTTATCTTTAGTATCTTAATTTTGTAATTAGTTTAGTTTTCTACAAAAATTTCAAAATTCATAAATTCATCAAATGCTTCTATTAGATATATATATATATATATATATATATATATATATATATATATCTAATTAAGTCATCTATAAATGTTACAAAGTAAAATAAAATTTACTAAATATCTAAATGTGAAATAGCTAAATAAATTTTAAAAATAAATTTATTTAGCTATTTCACAAAATATAAAAATAAATAATTATATATATATATATATATATATAAGCCTAACAATGTATAAAACTTTATGTATGAATTTCTTCATATTATTGAATAGTCTTATTTTAGCATTGCTATTTTTTATAGTTTGATATGATGTCATGTTGTCTCTTTAATATAATCAAATAATCCATCTAATTGATGTCTTATGCATTGTATTATTCCAAAACCTACAAGGAAGCTTCATTGAAGACTATTATTCCAAGACCATTGTGACATTTGATGAAGTCTTATTAATGTACTTAGAATATCATACAAGATCTCAAATTTTCTCTACTACCATATAGAAATTGTAGAAATTTTATTACCATATAAACAATTAACATGTACTCCTATAAGGAAGGTGATACTCTACTAAAAGAGTTACAACATTAGAACATATAACCACATAATTCTATAAAAGGATATAATCAATACATATAAATGTATCCAACACTATATAAAGATCTAAATATCTCCAAAAACTAAAAATGAACAATAATGCTTGCAACATGGCCACCGTTCTTGCTAATGGTGGCGCCGACAGCTGACCAAGCCACCTCGGCCTCAAAACAAGCCCCAACAACATGCTGTAGAAATTACTCTATCATGCCGAGGTTGGGACTTGCAATTGGTCTCCGGGGAACCAGTGCGGGACAGGCAGGTGACATTGGGCTTGGCTTTTATTAACCACATGGAAAAGTAGTCGGTAGAAACCACTTTTCTCTGCTTTTATCATACAAGGGGGGCTTCTCAAAGGGAAGGGGGACTGAGAGTGGGGTACTTGTGAAACCCCTGTGGGCCTGGCTTATGCCGGCCACCCCACTCGGTGGGTGGGGACCGCCTTGGGCGGCCATGACATCCACACATGGGCCGTGTCCATTGGCGCAAACGGGTGGCGCTGCTATCAAAGACTCAATGTGAAGCTCAATTTCACTGAGTTGAGTCCATATGGACCATAACCTCGGAAGGGGAGGGCGAAGGTGGGCCCAGGAGGCAAAGCAAGGAAGCTCTCAAGGAAGGGGACATAAGAGGCGGCGGCGGCGGCAGCGCTGGTGGCACCAAAGCAAAGGGAGACAAGGTGGAGGGTGGCCAACATGTGGCTATACAACGAACATGCCGTGGAAACACGTCCATCCATCCCCACCACTCTATTCGCCTGGGCTTATCCCGTTCGTCCATTCCATACTCGCTCGCCCCATCCACCGCCATCGGCAGTCCGCGTCTCCCTTGGTCCCTGCACTGGCCATTCGTCCCACCACAATTCACACAAAGTGCAGTCGTGTCATTCCAGCTTGCCGTTCCTGTGCTGCCTCCCCCTGCGCCCGCCATCGGCATATCATCGAGCTCGTCCATAGTTCGTGACTCGAATTGGACTGGAATTAGACTCGACTTTCTCGGAGTTGTTGCTGGATTTCGCTGAAATTGCAGCCGGAATTTGAGGGGTGGAGAAGTTTGGAGCAGAGAGAGAGAGAGAGAGAGAGGAGGGTTGGTGAATTAGCGGGGAGATCGAGAAGGGAGGCGGCCTCAATGGCCGCCGTGGCCAATCTGTCTTCGTTCACGCTAGGAAGCTTGCTGCAGCAGCAGCCGAGTGGTAGCAGTGGAGGAGGGAAGGCATCGACGCAGATTAATCCTTCTACGCAATTCCCACTGCTTTCTCCTGTGTTCACCTGCTGCAGAGCCAGTCTTAATTACAGGAGGAATAGTTTTGTTCAGGGTGGTCACAAAGTACTGTTCATGATCCAGAAGCTGTCGAGTGCGTGTAACTGCCATGGGAGGCTCCAGCATTTTGTTTGCAACTCCGTCGATGAAAGCTCGGAAAGCGCTGCCTCCCAGGTTTTTCATATCTTCAAACCTGGTGAATTCTTGATAGGGATTCGTTGCATGGCAAAGGGTTTGGCTGAGGGTCGGTTCGTTGATGACATAATCATGAATTCCAAGGAACTTCACGAGTAGGATCACGCCCTGAGGAGCTTGTTGTTAGAGTGTCTCAAGGATTGTTGTTCATTTTGAGACACTGTATAATTGGCTGTTTTTGGCTACGCTTTGAGAAATCATATTTTATCATGAGAAGACATTGGGCAGCCAGTAGATAGATGCACCCTATGCAGGAAGTTCGATCAACATCTGAGTGCCAAGTGTCACTCTGGACCCTTCGTGAAGCGACGGATTTTATTCTGAGATAATACTTTTTAATTCAGGTATAACCGTACGTTGTCATAAACTCTCCCTGTGACATGACATCTTGCAGTTCAAAATTCCGGTTGGCCGACGAAGAATACAGTTTTTCTCTGGCAAGTGGTTGTGCGGATGGGATGGGATAGGTGGATGGTTATCTTGTTGGTGTAGATTACCGGGGTATGTCAGCTTGTGAAGTGCGATTTTCATATAGGTCAAATGTCATTTAAAAATACAAATATACTTTTATAGAGAGTCTGTGCAAGGCTGACTGCCGCAATTCAAATGTAGTTTGCAACCTTAATTCGCCAGACTTGGACCCTGGGTAGCGTGGAGAATTTTAGCTGCTAAAGATTGCTGTTGAAATCATCGTCTGGTCCTTGATGAGGTCAATCACTGCTTCACTGCCCAATTACGTTTGAGTTGATTGTCACTTTAGTACTGTTTTCTGAGAACACTTGTGAGATAGTTCTGGCACAGCATCGTGGCATTAGAGTCTTCGTACTTACAGGCCAAGTCTCATGTGGGTTTAGGCTTGCTAAACTACGTCTTTGTAGAGCTCCTCTGTGTTGTAGCATTGTATGTCCTGTTCACGATTCGTGGCTTTCGGCTGGATTAAAACCTTCATATCATAATTTGTACTAAAGTCCGCTGACGGTGTATGATGCAGGTGAATAGCGATGCGCAGAGAGCAGAAGAGCAACCTTATGGCATTCCTGAAAAAAGGGTTCCAGAACATTGGGGTGTGGTTGGGCTAGGCCAAGCTATGGTAAACATGTCATTCACTTTCTAAGTTTTTGTTTCTCAGTCTGCTAGGTTTGTTAACGATTTTGGTCGGGATTCAAATCGTGCTGCAGGCTGAATATGAATGTGTAAATGAGTTGCGATGCAAATCCTGAGTCAAGCTGCCTCCTGTGTTGTGCACAGGTTGACTTCTCAGGTATTATAGGTGATGATTTTTTGAAAGAATTAGGGCTAGTCAAAGGCACCCGGAAGGTAGTTAACCATGAAGAAAGAGGTAAAGTGCTACGCGCTCTTGATGGTCGCAACTACAAGCTTTCTGCAGGAGGGTCTCTTTCCAACACCCTGGTTGCATTGGCTAGGTTGGGTGTGGCCAGCAGTCACAACTCTGCCCAAAACGTTGCAATGACCGGCAGTGTTGGTAGTGATGCTCTGGGCGATTTTTACAGGTGAAGAGTCTCCGCAATCTCCTGTCTCAATAACTTGCTTTTTATTGTAATTTGTGAATCCGTTCTTGTAGGCTGTAATCGTAGTCTGTTTGTTGAGCTACTAAGTGTATTGAAACATCAGATGCCAGTGATGTATGCTGTTACTGAAGTGTATTTCTGGCGTGCTCATTCAGAACAAAACTGCTGCGTGCCAATGTACATTTCTTGTCCCAGCCAGTTGTAGGTGGTACGACAGGCACTGTTATTGTGCTCACCACGCCTGATGCGCAGCGTACTATGCTTTCATACCAGGTTAGAATTGTTTATCTTGGATTTATTCATTTATGCATTTGTTTGTATTTTCTGCTTTACGTGAAGAATCAACCAAAAGTTGTAACAAACAAACAAACAAACAAACAAACAAACAACAATGTGTATATTTTTTGTGTGTTTGTTCGTGTATGGGTTTGCCCATCATTTATCTTGATCGTGTATACATGATGCCTCCACTGTAAATCCTAATTTGCGGGTCGCTATGAGCAGGGAATGTCCTCTATTGTGAACTTCGATTCGGTGCTGGCAGACGCCATTGCTAAATCTCGAGTGTTAGTAGTTGAAGGTTACTTGTGGGAAATTAATCAGACCATTGAAGCTATTGCTCAAGCTTGCGAGACTGCTCGTCAGCAAGGGGTACTAGTGGCATTAACTGCTAGTGATGTCTCTTGCGTAACTCGGCACCGGCAACAATTTTGGTGAGTAACAGATTTAGCACGAACAACTTTCGGGCCCAAATAAAACTAATAAACTGGCAGTCGGGTGGCATTCGGAGATTGCCCTGGATTTCAGTGTTGTTTCTATTATCTCTGAAGTTTTGTCTACGAGTCTCTTAAGATAGAGATGTAATAGGGACTCTGATATACTCTACTGTATTGTGTTTGGGCACTTCGAGATATACATATCCTATGCCCTTCATATTGTAATGGAACGCCAACTTGAGTTAATGTTTGACATCTTTGCTGCAGGGATGTTATGTGCCAAAGCTCGGACATACTGTTTGCTAATGCCGATGAAGCTCGAGCTCTCTGTGCCCTTGGAAATGATTGTACACCAGAACAAGCTACCAAGCATCTGAATCAGTTTTGCTCATTGGTTTCTGTCACTGATGGGGCCCGTGGTTCCTACATTGGATTGAGAGGTGAAGTGTTTTTTATTCCACCTGCACCCTGTGTCCCAGTGGATACCTGTGGTGCGGGAGATGCTTATGCTGCAGGTATACTCTATGGACTGCTTCGAGGAATGCCAGACGTTAGGGGAATGGGTGATTTGGCAGCTCGTGTTGCGGCTGTTGTGGTGGGTCAACAGGGAGCACGACTTAAAGAAGAAGCTGCTCTAGAACTTGCTGAATCTGTGAACAGTTTTTCAGATGCTTTGGATAATCGAATAACGGTGCTTATGGGAATGAAAGACGAAGTGAAATCTCAGAAAACCTCGAATGTATGAGCAGAAGTTTGATTCGGCGATATATATTTCTGGTAAGGCTTTGCTAGACTTCACCGTCTCACTTGAAGATATCACTTTACTCATGACTTGTCCATACCTGGCGAAGATTATTTTGAGATTTGCGTCAACCATTTGGGCAGCCAGTCTGAAATGTCAGCACGTTGACATCTGATCCTAAGGAATTTGGCGAAAACTTCCGCGAAGACGGAGTCATCATGATCTAAATTCATACGAACTGTGGAGCCGAAGATTAAGATGTGTAAAGATATGGAATTGCACCTGATGCCTGTGGCTCGGCATGATCGATAGGGACTGAGATGAGTAAAGATCTGAGTTTTAGGATAAGTCTTGAAACGCATCCTTTCAACATACATTCCTGGGTCCCCAGACCATCTACATTCATATCAAAAACATTTACAGAAATTAATTTAACATTGAAACATTGATCCTGGAAAACTGACATATTGTATTGCAAGTCTAGCCATGTCTCAGTGCACCTGAATATTTTTAAAAGAAACTTTTTCGGCTCTTATCATGTCTACTGCGGTCGTCAGTTACAACATAGTTCGAATCATATATTACCCGGGATATACATGTGAACGTTAAAGTTACTATGGCTGCCTCCGAAGTTGCACATACATGCTCAAGGCTGACTGATTACTTAGGAACAGTTTCTATGTCGTCTTTTCTTCAATAATCTCATCACCAGTTTAAATGCCAGTCATTAATTGGTATTGACATGCAACATAGAATGTGCTTTATCAATTTGTACAATTATATGTCTCACCTGAAGACTATTTGCATAGCTTGCGGTCGTCATCGTTATTGAAGGAGGGTTGGACAACTTCTGGAATAAAAACACATGTCATCATCCGCTGGAATCTGCACACTTGTGACCATCGACAGCCGCACATTTTATGTTGTCATCACGTTGCATTGAAGATACAATCAGCTCAGCTGAGATAAAAACAAATCTTTGTTATTCGCTCTTCCCTCGTACACCATACTATCTTGCTTTTTCCTTGAAGAGAACTTAACCTTGAGCACTTCTGCGTAGCATTAGAGAATATTCAGCACGTAGACTCTCTCTTACAACCCTATCTACATCCTAATGCGGCAGCATCTGTCTTAACGATGTCTCATCCCGTTTCAAAAGCAAAGATTACAATCAAGATAACTTATTATGTGGAAAGTATGTTACTTTTCAAAGCCAGGGTTGGATCAAAACGGAAGACCGAACGGCATTCGACTACATGAGAGCTTGATCCTCATCCATGACTACTTTATTAGTTTTCTTTGAGGTAAACGACGTGGAATCGGTGCACTTTTGGATAAACATCTGTGAAGATGTGTCATCTTGATGATTTGGCACAGGCAGGACCATATCCCTTCTCACATGCAACGCTGAGTGTCTTCTCTTGGGATGTCGATTGATATACCTCGCTGTTTTCATTTTTGAAATTATCTTCAACTAATCCTTACGATTCCAGAACGGATAGCTCAGTGTGTCTCTGGGAAGTTGAACACCTACACAATGAAGCAGTCTAGTCAGTGCGTTGGATAGCGTGCATAGATACTGTTAGTACGTTGAGAAGCATACCTGACAGGTATAAGATCTGGTTAGATGTAACGGACGCTTCCGTGCGGTCTCAGGAGCTCGTGATGGGAAAATGTCATTTGGGCTCCACGTCTCTTCATCACTTTCATAGACTATTGCAGCGCTGCTCCAATCTGAACCTATGAAAACTCTAGGATTGTTAAAATTAATGAAAACATGAACGGGTCACTGGAATCAGCAGAGGTGTTCATTCAGAAAATAAAATCCGGAACTCAATGCGATGAATCGTTCAAATTCCACTTGGTCTGAATGGCTGCCATCTTGCAACATCTCCATCTGAGTAACGCTGTTTGGCTGTAGTAACATGTGTTTATCGGAATGGCTCGATCGTGTCTCAAAATGCAGGAGCATGTTACAACCTCAATTAGCTATAAAAGCAGATTGTCGATCCGCAACATCGAGAAACGGCACCATGGTTGAAGAGTGGACTTTGGTATCACAGAACGTCATCCAACCTTACGTTTCATTGCGTGCAATGTGGGAGAAAGAGGAAGTTTGCGGGTGAACTGATTCAGGTCAATGCTCTTTTTAAGGCAGTTCCCAGGCAATCAATGTTACGGAAGCTACGTGGAGTGAAAATCATTATTGTTACTAGTCTTCTTTTGTTTGACAAATCGGAATTTATTCAGACCTAAATTGTAAGTTTTTTTATTTCATGTGATCTAAGACATAAATCGTCGAGAACAGGATAGAGAGTGACACTGCCAAATACATAATGAACCATGTGATAATATTGCAGATAATATACTTGATGCAAGATAGCGTAAAGCTTAGGAAAATGCTGATATTGTTATTATATGCTCTAATACACGTATCCAAGTTCCATGTTCGGATACTCAAGCATTTTCTTCTTCCTTTTCTTAACATTTACAACTTAGAATGTATGAAGTTTGGTCCAGTTCAGACGGGTCAGTGTTGAAGCAGCCCTAACATTTGTTCTTCTGCAATGGTGCTCAACAGGTATATCCGGTATAGATATGGTTGTAGAGCAAAAGTTGAGCTATTAACAGCAATTCAATGGGCGCTTAGACCCTAACATGCGAATCTAGATCATGAAACTTTCTCAGCAATGATGGAATTGGTTTGTTTGACAACGATATAAGAATCGATGACGAAATACCAAGGTGGAAACAAATTCCAATATAAAGACCATATTTCTGCCAATGACCAGAAACATGATCAAACTAATAACGAAGCAAATATGAATGAGAAGCTAGTCCCTTCTCCCGGCTGGACTACCAAAGACAACACAAGAATTCTTCTGGAAATTTATGAACCTGAATCACACGCTGGAGAACCAAAACGAGATATAAAAGGAGGGGCTTCTTCCCTTCACTTAGAGAGTGAGTCTGGTTCACTTCCTGCATCCGTGATCCCTCATTACTCCAGCGATTGCAAGAATCTATGCTGCGGGTCCCCATGTCCTACCTCTGATCCGCGCTACCCATGTCCTCCTCGACAAGCTGGATTCTGTTTATCTGGGTTACACCAAGAACACAGAGACAACTATCCAAATTCTACAGAAAGTCGCATTCCAAGTGGCTACCCTGACTCTGTAGAGCACGACGACCTCTACTTGCCTACATCTCATCCACTGAACGCAGTCTCCCACAACTACAGCGGTCCCACAACCTCGAGACCCTGGTCGCCTCCCTCCCCACGACAGAAATGTCATTGCAGGGCAGCACAACATCACGTGAGTCCCAGAGCAGCTTGGGATATGCAAGATCCAGAGTTCAAAATTTGCTTCCAATCCTTCCATGCCTCGCCCCAAGAGTCAATTACCAGACCTGACGAATCGCACTTCTCTTTGGAGATGCCGCTGCAGGCGTCGACAATTAAACTCGAATCCAAGTCAACTTCTCCGATGCAGTCCTATCATAACGGCGGTTTGAGTCAAAAACATTTAGGAATCAGGGATTGGATAGGTATAAGTTGCCAATGTAGTCCTAGAATTGACCCTGATTCTGGGCCTAAGTCATACCAAACGCGAAAATCAGGGACTAGTTCACCGATTTCTGCTGACGACCTGGAGCCATCTCCTTGCTCTTCCCCTTGTTCTCCAAAAACTCGTCTATCACCTCGCCGTCCTTCGAGTGCTTCCCCTGATTACCCTCTGAAATCGATGGAACACGCCCCCCATCGGCTACTCAGCCGGTTACCATATACTGCAGAATTAGCGCAGCTGACTGTGGAGAAAAGCTTTCAGAGAAGCTGTTGTTCCCGCGAGGACAATGCCAATCATGATGAGTCGAATGGCGAAAGAGCTGGGAAATTGAAGCTCTATGATTCTGGAACTGGTGCTCTGATCAGCAGAGCTTCACATCCAGACAGCTCTTCTGAAATTTTATTGCCTGGCACCGGAAGTTTGGAATGTACTTGCCAGAAAAAACCAGCGAAGACAAGCCACAACCAGTTCTGCTATCCCACTCAGAAAGGGTCTCTTTCCCCGTCTCCCTCAGGCTATAGTCCTGCCACCAAGCAATGGCGCAATACAGATTCCGATCCTAGCCATGGGGCATTCCTCAACGATGTCAAGAGGATATTAAGTTCAGGTGTTCCCAAATGTCTAGTTGATGACAAAAAGGATTGGAGAAACGTCTGGAAGAAACCAGATCGAAACGAGGATTGTAAGAGCCTAGATCGGCAACAGGACTTAAAACAAGACTCAATACACGACTTCCACGCAAAGGTGAGGTCTGTACTCCACTCGGATTCACCAATAACAAATTTTATTCCTAGCGAAAGAACAACAAACCTGATGCAGGAATTATCCTCCAGCGGGAAAACATGTCAGCAACATGAATTGCTCAGCTCCACTGATATTTTCTCAAGTGCGAAGTCAACATTGAAACCAGCATTACCATCGATTGTTTCCTGCGGAAGACTGACAGATTCGAGTTGGAAAGAGTATCCCAGAATAGCTAATGCTGCCCCATGCGAGGCATCAGATTGGAGACAAGAGCATCCACCCCCACAGATTAACTTTGCCTTATGCGAGAGAACCACAGATCAGAGGCAAGCTCAACGGGAGTATCTATCAACCAGAAGCTCAATGGGAAGCTTGCGGAAATTGCCCTCGAGCGGGAGTCCAGCAGATTGGAAACAAGCTTCGAAATCTCCATCAAACCTGGACTGGAAGTTCCCATCGAGAGAAACGGACTACAAGCAAGAATATTTCTCATGCCTGAAGACCACAGAACGGGGCACTTCACCAATTGTCTCGACTCCTACCAAGTTTGAACCCAGCCCAGGTTTAAGTAGATCGCGTGACCGGCCAAAGACGGCTCCAATTTTCACAAACTTCAAGCATGGCGAAGGAGCTTGCACATCCAGGAAGTTCCAAAGAGGAAATGATCGCTTGGACACGACAAAAAGAACATCTGCACGGAAAGCTCCAGAGGCTTATATTTCACCTCCGGAAGAATCTGACGAAGACTGTCGGCACCACGTACAAATCACCGATCCTCCCGAAGCTTTGAAGTTATCAAAACGACCGTCGAAAGGCAATTCCAATAAATTGGACAAATCGTCGTGTTTGCGCAACGATATTCCCAAACAGGGCGTAGTATGCCAATGCTGCTGCGGAAGGTGCAAGACCACAAACTCCCGGGGCCAGGTTACGACGAAATGCCCCTTCTGTGCAAACGTGCACTCATGCTGCTGTGGCATGTGCAGTTGCCCCTTCCCGACCTGTGTCAGCAAATCCCCACTCGCCGACTCGATCTCGTCCAAGTGTACTTCCACCACAGATTCTATTGGCAACGACAAGCTACCTTCGGATAACTACAATCGAAGTTTTGCGTCACGGCATAAATCTCTATCTCCAATGAGGGGCAAGCATCCTGCAGGGCTTGAGAAGCCAGATAAATTCGGCCCCCGCTCCAAATCGTCTCTTTCCAAGCATACGTTCCAGAGAGCAAGTCCTAGATCGGCGTTTCAGTCCTTCCACGATTACCTGAAGGAGGAATCTCGTCGTTCGAAGTCAACCTTGAATTCTTACAGACGTCGTTCTGAGCGACAAAGTCGCAACTGGCGTCCACCATCGAATTCTCCTGACCGGAACTGCTCCAGGCGAACGAACCAGTTGAGTACAAACAAAGCTCCCGGGGAGCTACGAGCACCAAACGGCACCCACCCAATCCTGATGTCCTCAAGAGAATCAAATATCCAAGCTGTCGAGCACCGCCTACCTTACAGTAGATCCCACCATGGTTGCGGTTGCCCACAATGTACGCATGGAAAATTGTAGCTTCAGGAGATTGATAATGCGGAAGACAGCCGTTGGATCACTGGCGCCATTTGACATCTGCTCAGACCCGATTGATTCGCCAATGATTCGATTCCAGCTGTTTCAGACAATCTGAATACTGAATCATACCTCGTTACTTGCACCAATCCTATCGATGACATTAGCATTGTGGCATCAGAGAAAGCAAAGTCCACACCCGCAATCGAATCGAAGTTTCTGAAGATGGTCTGGAATGTCAAACGCTCGGCAAAGGAATGACATACCACAGAACCACTGTCCCCCGAACGTCGAGTCTCCATCTATGTGCACCCGGGGGAGTTGCTACAGCAGAGATTGCCAACACTTCGGTGATGCTCAAGTGCAGGGAATAGAAGCAAAGCTGGTGATCAGCTCAAACGTCGATCAGGGCACGATGCTAGACTCCATCCTTCAGAACTACACAGGCCTCGCGAGGTAAGAGACTCATGAACAATCTCTACATGAAATGCTTGCTCGAACTACTTGTGAGATGGGTCGATTGGCGGTGAGAGGAGCTCATGACTGCGAGAATGCGTGCCCTGCAGGAATTCTCAGGCAGCTTTTGGGCGGACTCAACGAGGCTACTGAAGCACGCAGTCCGCGGCACTTGCGTTGCCGACAAATCAAGCAAAGCTATATGTCAGACATCCAATTTTCCACTCTGTTCATCATCGAATCATCCGCGTGCTTCATTCATCCAAAACACAACGTATGCTTTGTTCATTCGTTCTAGCGCACTGGGTGTACTTCATTCATCTACTTCTAATGGAATTTTGATATATATTTTTCTTTTCTTTTTTTTTTCTTCTCTTCATTATATTTTCCACTGTATGCCTGCAAGACTTATTGATTTTGAGTGTAAAAAGTTAAGGGTTTTGGTGTGATTATTAAATAGCAGCTGTTTTTTTAATATTTGAGCCTAGATTTATCTATTGTTGCAAATTTATTTCGGAATTGCAAAATGGGTTGTCAGAAAACTACAAGGTTGTCTAAATTAGTTTAGGCGCTACATTTTAGGAGAAATGGTCTAAGAAGTTTCGTTTTTTGATCTTGTGGGATTGTGCATTTAAGGATTTTGAAGTGAATAGACTTGCCTTTGAAAAGCACTTTAGTCCTACAAAACGTATAAAATTAATTCCGCCTTGTAAATTATGGTAGTGTTATCATAGAGATATATCTAAATTATGGTAGTGTTATCATATATATATATATATATATATATATTTTTTTTTCAACAATTTTTTTTTAAAAAAATACCATGTTCAAGGATCTATATAAAGAATTAGTTTTTTTAATCATTTAGTACAAAAATAATAATGATAATAATAATAATAATAATTTTATTTGTAGAGTAAAATTAGAAGGAATAACATTATATTTATATATGATTGTTAAGTAAAACTATGAATCTTAAACTCTAATAATCAGAATAAAAATAAAAATAAAAATTAATTATTAAACATGTCATGAACATAGTACCTAAGTTTGGTAGAATGACCGTAATATGAGTTAGGAACAAGTTCTTAAGGTTTAAAGTGTTGAAAATACCATATAAAAAACTTTTAAAAAATAATAAATAAATAAAAACATATTTTCTTGAAAGTAGTGTTTTTTTTGACAGTATTAAAGTTTGGAAGGCAAGATAACACAAGGAGCTTTAGGGGTTGCATTCCACATAAGTATAAAACATGTTTAAAGTATATGTAGCTTCATGGCTAATAGAAAAAATTATTTATTCCCTTAGCTTTTTTTAATGCCTTCACATATTGTACACATATATTGCTGTTTTCTACAAAAATAGTTCTTTCAAGTTCTTATTTTAATAATATCTTTTGTAAACTTTGTGTAAATTCCATTTGAATGCTCTCTTCAAGAAAATGTTTCTTTGTGAATTCTACATATATATTATTACTATTAAATTAATTTTTAAATATTTATTTTTAATTTGGATTAGAATTCTAGTAAATAAAATTAAAAATTAAGTTATAATTTTAGCCAAAAACAAAATTTTATTTATGTTCTATATTATCTATTTGATATTTGTGTCCATCACTACTCTTTTTATATATGTTATTAATTTACCTTCATTACATTTTATGGTCAGGTATTGATTTTTGTAGTATTCTAATATTTTTATTATTATTTATTATTATTATTATTATATTTTTCTCTCATACCTCTCATTCTAAACCCCTTAACAGACTTCTTTCCGTTTTACACAGGAGAGAGGGAATTGGTAGGAAAACAGGAGAGCAATAAGCTAGACAATTTGCACAAATATGTGTGAAAATATTGGCATCTTAGTTCATTTGTAGCACCCAAAACCAAATACTAGGTGTGATTGATTAAGAACCAAATATTATTAGGGAAAGGCATTAGCTTTATCAATGATGAATTGTAAGGTTTTTTGTGGTAAGCATCCAACTTTCTAGATTGCACTGCGTTTTTCTAGATTGCACTGCGTTATTGAAGGTACGATGGATGACTTTATGTACACTCATGGTGCCACAACATTCTTTGGTTAAGAATAAGTGACCTGTCATATTACCCTCTTGTCTATATATTTTCCTCACGTGAGTGTTGATAATATCAAAAAGACGGCCATCACCTGGGTACTTGGATTGGTTTTGTGCAGTCTTGGCTAGAAGTATTGCCATGTGAGGTTAGAAAGACAAGAATACAAATGGCTACAGACGCCTCCCAATTACAGCATCCTCTCAAAAAGAATTCATACATATATCCTTTGATAATTGCCAAGAAGTTGACGTTCTTGTTGCACAAAGCATGTACTTAGTATAAATTGCATCGTGATGATATGAGTAGATCACAATTGAATTGGTCTCTTTGAGCCCCTTAGACTTAGACGCTTGGGGATGAAACCCCCAGCATCAATTTAGCCAACATAAAAATACAGAAGTCTAAGGGAATTTACAATGGCCTGCGCAACTCGGCAAACACATTGGAATTCCCATCTTGAGTAGATGTGCGGATTAGGAGGAAATTGTCAGTAGAAATTTCACGCTTCCACTCCAGTCCTATCGAATGCGCCTCACCTGAGACCTTTCTGCGTGCACACCGGAACCAGTAGCAGTAATGAGAGAAAAAGTCACACGAGTCTCTTCCAGATTACAATCTGTTTAGTTTTGCTACATGCACACAACAAAAGCTCGGTGCTAATTAACTTCAAACCTGAATGTCCATCCCCAGCAGTTTGCCCGTTTGATGTGCGAAACGGCCACTTTGAATTGCGTAGTGCCATGCAAGTTGTTCATGAGTTTCACTGCAACGTCTCTAGTTCCTTGTGCAACGTGCTTCAACTCCACACTGCAATACACCAGGACTTTGCGGTAAAGTTTTGATTTGTCACCCGTGTCGTTCAGGTCTCACAGATTGTGGAAATCAAGGTGCGTGTACCCAAATGGAATGATAAGGTGTTAATAGTCTAAGCGCTATTGTTTCGGTCCTATCCGATGCATTTAAAATAATGATCAACATACCTCATCTGATTATTGTGGTGAAGACTTCTTATAAATGCAGTCCTGAGAGTGTTCCGTTCACTAATCCGATGCTGAGTCTTCAGGCAGAACTCGTGATTTTGTTGGAAATCGGTGGTGAAACTGTCTTGTCAACATATATAAATAAATATAACAGTAGCATGAAAAACACAAACACACACACACACAAGACTGGAAACTAGTACGTTCTCGTATGTGTATACGCTCTAACCGTAAGTACTGAAGTGAATTTCACCTTTTAGAGATGTTTCCAAAGCTCCAAAACGGCAGGGCAGCTTCCAGTCTTACAGAGTGTTGTCCCCTGCATTGTGAACGTGGGTAGTTATAAAATTAGGGCTCATGGGCAACACCAGATGCAAACGATGCCACAGTTAGATTGCAAATGGGTACATGATATTGATGTAAATGTAACAACCCTCGTAGAAATGTGTATAGCCCGAGCCGGTTACCTTAAATTGGTAATGTATGTATTACTGAGAGAGAGATTGTCTTTTGTGTTCTTGGATTGCAACCGCAACAATCTCTCTCCAGTCCTTAAATTGGCAAGAAAAGTCTCCGACATCTGATATAAATAACCCACACGTTAAGCAATGCACTCTTAGTTGCACAATGAAACGTCTACACACTAAAATCGTTCAGTGCAGGCGTAATACTGACGGCACTCTCTTTCCAGAAATACAGCACATAACAGAATCAGCTGAAAGAATAACACAAATACCATGTTGTTTTCGAAAGGACTTCCATGTGCATCTCTATTGAGAGAACACTCCTGATCTCCTATTAAGACCTCACCTTCCTAGTCTCTTTCTCTTGCTCCAACTCCACTTCAAGAGTAGGATCCCCAACAGATGCCAAATAAAAACTGACACACCAAACATACGATCATTTACAAGCATGCCCCGATAGTTCAATTCATAGGATCAGAAATTATTTCGTGAGATCGCGAAATGCCACAAGACAAGAACACACCAAAAGAAAAAGTATACCATGAATGTTGCCATGGACAAAATATCTTCAAGATCACTATAAAATAAATAAATAAATAAATAATTAGAAACTTCAGCATCGGCTCAAAATACCAAAGACTATCTCCATTCGTGACACCTACCATGTCGAAAGCCTGGAGGCTGGAAGTATGGCATGAGATGTATTGCACGTAAATTCTTCATCTGATAACGAGAAACACAACATTTTAGAATCACACATCACAGTGCGTTGGACAACGATATATTTTTCGAACGAGGTCTACGAAGGAGAACAAACAAGAAATAGAAGGGCAATTGAGGACTTCAGATGAAATATACCTCCATTGAGATTATTGACGTAATTCGTAGTCAGACTGTTGCTGGCGTCCAATTTGTGAGAGGTTGACATGAGGATTGACTTGTTCTCCCCTAATCTCCCTTGCTCAAAACAGGTTGACACTGCACACATTGAAGCCCCAAGTTCTACTCAAAATGACCTCACCCCTATTGGATTTAAAGCATCTCCCCGCTAAACATCATGACCCCAAAACTACTAACCTGAATGATTCAAATCAATTGAAATATTTTCTTCTAACTTTCTCCCCTGCTCCAACTCGCTATACACGAAGTCAAGTGACCGCTGCACATCTTGATCTTGACGTCAGTTGCTGAAAAATTTTAAGTCAGCTCAGATATTGATATACACACGGTAACCTTTGAAAATACACTACTTCACTCGGACCCCATCAGAGCGAAAAACAAATGGATACAAATGATAAAAACAGAGAAGGGGACCTTACATTGACCAAATATAGCACACCAGTAGGTAAGGACCAAGCATGCCTTCGCTTCTTCCGCCTTCCATCCCAGAATGCAGAGTCCAGTCTTCCTGAAGTTGAAGCCGCAAGAACCGACTCAACAGACTCATCATCTGGCCTTGCGGTCTGTAGAATATTCTCAATCACTGACAAGCTCGTTCCTCTCAATTGCTGGACGGGCATCTGCAGAGTTTTGAGAATTGAATCGAACAGTAAGAACCTACAAATTGGCATGACCACCCAAAAGAATTGATGCCCATTAATAGAAGAATAACATCCTCCGTATTCAAGAAAATCTTCATAAACTGCCCCAGTAGGGTCACAAATCGATTCTCACCTCTGCATACAGAAGAGCGCAATCCCCCACAAGCAACCACCCAGCTCCCATTGCGTCCGGCATACTAATGCTCACCCAAAAAGTTTCCAAATAAAGCTCTCATTGAAAAGCTCCCCTTCAAATCAACCTCAACACAGGAAGGAGGCAGTCTAATGCACTTCCCACATTCGCCGGTTGGACCCACCCAATGCGTAATCCTTAGAGACCACCTACACGAATACCTCAACATTTTCATTACCATGCTAAGATTCTAGGACCAACTCGACTCAATTATCAACAACGTACAAGCAAAGCAGAGCAACACATGCGTAGAACATCAACCGCCAATATATGTGCTGAAGAGCTAGAAAGGAAATTGATTTGGCCAGAATTGCTGCGTGAGTAATCAGATTAACTCTGCAGAGATTTTTGTTAGAGATCTCAACCTATAGGGCATACAACGACGAGAGCTGTTCCTTCTACAATATGCCAACACAGATGCGCGATGCTTGATTACCATCCTTTGTTCACGACACTAACTCTGCCTTCATCCTAAGAAAAAGAATTTCATCCTCTCATTCTCTCCAAAGAAGTGGTCAAGCTCCTTGCAGTCAGGACTCTCCTGGCCGATCTGACAGGCTTCGGGACCCCCAATCCTCTTCGGACGGACTCAATTTCTGAGTAATGGCAGTGGAGAGGCTAATTTTTTCTCTAATGTTGGTTTGAATCTGATGATTGATGTGGGGGCAGCTACTGGCGGAGCAAGCTTACACAAGTAGAGACATGAGTGCAAGTAAAGTAGAATTCTTAGCTGGGTCTGGCTTCGAGGTGCCTTAATAGTGATGGCGTTGCTGTAAAGTAGCAGTGCCCAACATTGTTGGTACGGGAGCTCTCTGGGTGTTCGTAGTCTGTGTTGCGACCTTCGATTGAGTTTTGTTTCAGAGCGCTCCGTCGGCTGTGGGAGGTCAGGTTAAGAGAATATGGGTTGTGGGGTCAAATTCAACTTGGCGGTAATTCACAGAAAATGTGACATCGTGAGGGTAAGAGTCACCAATTGTGTTTTTTTGGGTTTAGAGAACAATGCCATCCTTGCTCTTTGTGATCAGGGTTCTTTTATTATGCTTATCGAGGGGTAACGCACCATGTATGGCGATAAGATTTGGTGGCTCAGGGCTGCGAGATGGGAGGAAATGACAAGAGTGATTAAGCAGGGAAGATCCTCGTGATACAGGCTATGAACGGGAAAGAGCGATGGCGTTGGATCCGAACGTTACGTAATCTGAGACAGCATCACCAACCATCCTCACAGATGCCATCAATTCGGGAATGTCCTTTCCTCCGAAGGTACAGCATGGAATTACATCTTTTCTCTTCTACTCCTTCCTTAACCTCTGACCCCCAACCTGTATTTAAGATTGATTTCAATGTATTAAGTGCAGGTACTCTTAACGCCGAAGGTCTATGCACATGTTGGTATAACAAACGGTTGTGATACATGCTCTTATTGAATCTTCAGTCATGCCACTGCAACAGAAGTACAAGAAACATTCGAGGGTTGGATAGACGCAAACTGGAGTTAACTTTGATCACTTTTCACGGTCTCCATTCAAGCCGAGGACATACATGTAGACGAGGACAAGCATTATTTGACTTATAGGTTTTATGAGTAGCTTGCTTTAGAACTGCATGTGTGAACGAGATGGATCTCACGAAAATTTATTTCTTTTCGTTTCCTTTCGTTTTGAGCTAAGTCTCGAAGATGGAAATGCAAACTGACGTCTCGCATTTCTAGGCCATGTACATTACACGGTGTAATGTTCCCCACATTTGATTAGGTTTAGCCCCTGATGAAGTTTTGGTGTCATTTGGCTCAGGAATGACGTGGATGTCGAATAAATTGGTTGTGAAAGCTTTGAAGCGCTGAAAATCATTAGAGAGCAGGACGCCATGAGCTGTTGGCGACCAGGTCTTCAGAATTCGTGTTTAGCTTCACTCGCTCGCGATCGTGAGATGTCCATGGGAGACCTCAAGCTTCGTAGCATACTTGCTAAACTTTATGCCTAATTTCTGTCGCGGTGTTCAGGTCAAAGATGCCTCGGTGCAGTTCGACTATGATCAGATTGATCCAAATGAAGAGGAAGCTCAACTCGCTCTGCGTAACAAGGCATGTTGTCATGTTTGCAGGTTCGACGCAATCTTTTCGTTTGGTGACTTTTGTGAGCTTGAGTCTTGAGCCTTTTATGATGTTGCTTGTATATTGATCACTAGTTTATTAGCGCAAACATGCTATGTTCCTGTGCTGTTGAAGGAGTAAGGGAAATGTAATAGATTCAGATTCTTGTCAGCAGGTCCATGTACACATCTTAATTTTGCTGATTGATTAGGATCCAATGAAGAGGGAGAGAAAAGTTAACAAGCTTACAGGCGAGCTCTTTGAGTATATAATCTACAACACAGTGTCACCTGAACTTGTCAAATCTGCTAATGTCGCACGGAGCAGGAGGTGGAGCGTTTGTTGCTCCATACATTATGGGAAAGTAAAAGCAATAAGCACAAGTGTGGAGAATCACTAACGACGAACACGTTCAAGGCTGCCCGTTCGACTAGTAAACTTTCAGATAGTGGAGTTGTGCAGTTGCGATGTAACATCTTACCGGTGAGAATTTATCTATCGCAAATCATTTATGCCAAGCTTAGATAGTTTATCTTCTTCTTCCATTTATCATTTTGCCTCTAACTTTATGTCGATACTGTATCATCAATTTTGTGAGAATTAGGAACCTGAGTGATCAGTAAACCTTGTAAATGGAACCGTTGACATGTTAATCGCTGCTCTACAATCACTAGATGTATCTATTTATCAGGTGATACATCTAGCTGGAACGGCGGAGAATGTGGAGATGTCTATTCGAGCGTCTGAGAAATATCGAGACGACGTGGTCAACCTGGATGCACTGTTGGTTCCCATGGTATGGACCAAGAACAAGACCAGCAAATCTAGGAAGTGACTTGGTTTTGGGGGCAGGCCTTCTGTAAAACATCCTTCTGCTCCTTCAATTCTTATAAACAGATTCACATAGTGAGGACCTATTGACTTCACGGTTGACTACAAGAACAGTAAAGCATTGTAGCTGGTGGTTGGACTGTAAATGTAGTTTCCCTAAGGCTGCTTTCCAAAATAACAGTTTTCAATTTGGGGGAAAACTTCAGGACGAAATTGTGTACCGAGTTCAAGCTGCGGCTGCGAAAGGGGTAATTCAAAAAAAGGAAAAAAGATTCAAAGATTGAATCACTCTGGCCAGTGCAGTGGGAGAGGTAGGGATCTGAGACGTGGGCTGTGTTTGGTTTTTTTTATCAGTTATCAAAGTTAAATGTCACTTCTAGATTTAAGGCTAAGTATGCATTGCCCTGCATAGCTCTTCTAAAATTATGGTTTTTATTACATATGGATAGCATCTTCAATGCAAATGTCTGTTCCCGCAGTAATCATTTGTACGCAACTTGGAACTGTACGAAACTGTAACAGTTGGGTGAGAGAGCAGCAAGAACCCGAAGAATTGACTCCAAGAGAAGACGTTCTCATTGTTCTGCAGCTTGGTGGAAGAGTCGGGAAATCTAGATGAGTGCGTTCCCTAAACTCGACTCTGCCTTGTTTTCTCTGCTCCATCCTTAGTAGCCTGTTTCTGGCAAATGAATGTTTCAACCTCGTTGATAATCCCCACCTCAATCCAGATCCCCGAGTCCTCTTTTGTGTTTTCCAACCCTGACTCAAAACCAGAATCAGATCCTACACTTGCCGTGACTTTCTTTGGAAAATAATTATATTAAAAGAGATGAAGAAACCGGTTGACAGTAGTATCCAGCCAACCAGTATCATAAGGTCACTTGACATTGTGGTCGACTCTGGGTTGGCTAAAGCACGATTCAGGAACAACTCAACCCTCTTTCATAATCACAATATGTGTGTGTGTGTGTATGTGATGACAATATGTCAATTACAAACGCTGTAGTGACTACTTGTTTGCTATCCGATCGATCCAGAGTGTTATTTTGATGCAAGGAATGCCTGAGTAGGTGGATATTGTGAATCAAAAGACGCCTCTTGACATTTTTGTTACCAAGCTTGAGAAGTGAATGCTTTCATGCTTCTCTTACCTCTTGACGAGGACATCGTGTCTTTTTGTAAGTACATCTTCAGCATAAGTTTGGATTAGCAGTGATTGACGACACATGCAATGTTCATGGATCACACGAAATCTGTACCCATTTTTGCACCACGTTGGTGCTAGCAGGCAGGGAAACAATGTCTGCAATAATATGCAACTTGCTGCTGATCCTTCTCTTCATCCCCAAATGGAAGTAATTTTTATTGTCCCCTCGAGGCGAAATAATGTATGCGTCCTGAAGGATTTTGTCTTGCTGACTGGTCTGTAAAGGTTCCCTATGTCGCACAACATTAGAGAGGACCTTATTTTTTACGTCAGAGCAGTTGCCGCAGCTCCCGACTTTTGTGTATTTCTACCTGATTACAGAAGTCGGATAGTATAGAAACTGGAGAGAATGTGTTTTCATTAAACTTTGAAAAATAAAATTTGTAAAAATCATTTTTTGTGCTCCTCCAGGACTATGTAGGGAATAATTCTTTGGGTTGTTAAGATCCAGAAGGTCGCCCTTGAGAGGAAGAGCCAGGACAACAAGCAATATTTCCAACTTTGTCCAAATCGCACTCTTCAGTCAGGTAGTTGGGTAGTGCTCCTCAGTCATTTGCTTTTTGCAATATGTATGCCTTACTGGTTCTGGTCAAACTCAAGGGAATTAGTTTCCTCTGCATCCTTTGCATACTATTATAGGAAACAGATAAATGCCTGATTAGAAACGCTCTCAAGTGTGACACCCATCACTGTTGGAGTCATGGCTAAACCACTTCCAGATTAGACAACAAAACCCATCTGAGATGTGGAGATTTTGGAACATGCTGGACTCGACACTGATCATGACCCTGTAACTACTAATTGATAACAGGTTCCGCAAAAAAAATTCTGCAAACCAAAAAAAAAAAAAAGTAGAACTCAAGCTTCTTGTAAGTTTCTTGATGGTTGCTGCTGCTGCTGCTAAGTAGGATATAAGCATCCAAGCCCCACAGACTTGGACGTCTTACCAAACGCGAACAACCGACATGACTGCCAAAGGTGCACGGATAGTGACTCTCACAACCTGAAGCTAATGAATGCAACCAACTCTTATGACCTCAATCATTCACAAGAGCTCATGGAAAAACCAGTGTATTTGATTTGCCTTGATTGTGACTACGACCCCTTGGAAGGCAAATATAATTCTTCCCTTTGACCAACCTTTCGTGCACCCCACTCATCATTCATCATGTTTCATTGTCGCAGCATCCATTTCTTACCCCCAAGTCCTTCAATCCAGATGAAACAGAAGAAAGATAGAGTGGGAGAGATTCTTTCCTTCCTTCCTTCCTGCTGAAAAGAGTCCAGGTGTGTGTCATGTTTGACAGCCAATGGACTTGACTTGGGTTCCATCAAACAGACTCGAAAGCTTTGCAACAACATTGGTTTCATAGTGTGAAGCAGCTTCAATGGGTAGGGGCCCTGGCTGGAGTGAGCTCACTCACGTCTCCAACCAACAAGCCAAGGTGAGGACCAAACTGAGGAAAAATTGGTTATGGCCTGTGCCATGATGTAGATTGGAACTCCAGTTTATTGTTATTCTAATACATTATTTATAATGAACACAGAAAGACAAAGATGACAAAGAAGAAAGAAAAAGGAATCTTAAGATTTCTTTACTTTTATTTTGAAGTCAACCAAATTGTTGTAATTTTTCCTAAATAAGTAAACAGGGAGCAGAAACAGGAGATGCTAAACCATTGCACCTAGGAGGTTACCAGTTTGATGCTGGAATCTGATTTGAAACTTTCCACAAATGCCTTTGTAACCACCAACCCAAATAAGACTTCATCTCCACCTTCCACCCATGATTTGCTCCAAAGATGCTCCACATCTCATCCCTTTTTATGATGCATTGGAAACACAACCAATGTTGTAAGAATACTACTCAGCAGTGTTCACACTCTTGCAATTTGTCATCTTCTTCTTCCTTCTATACTCCCATGCCCATTGAATTATAGCAGTACAAAGTGGTGCAGGAATCCATTCTGGATGCCCACACCTAGCCAGCAAGTCACACACATACTCCTCAGTTTGGGAGAACATAACACAACAATTAGAAGAAACTACACATTCAAATCAGGAGCCACATGAAAAACTGCCCATGTTCATTTTGCTGATAATCTCTCCAATATCTTACTTGTTCCTATTTTGACAAGTAATATGGACCATGAGGAGTTGCATTGTGTTTGTAGATAAAGATTGGTATATTTTATGTGTTTACCTGCAATGTACACACAATATGCTCAACTTGGAATTCATTCAAATAATGAAGCATGAATGGCTGAATTTCATGTGTTTATGCATACTGTTCATTTTTATTCCGTTGTGTAAGATTAATTGGTCATATGCTGCTTGCATCACCTGTCACATTGAAATATATGTAGTATTTCAAAAGGCATGTCCTCTCTCAGAAAATAGGAGGAAAAAAAATCCATGGGGAGTTGTAGACCATACAAAAGAGCATTTCTGTAGAAAGCACATGTTTGTATGTGTATATATAGTTATATAGATATATTTGTGTGATCTTGAGCTTGGCCCAATATGCTCTTTCTGCAAAGAAAATAGGCAACATGAGGCAATACCCTCAAAAGCCAAAAAAATCATGCAACTTTCCTACGTGGCACACAGCCACATATGTGCTCCCATGATTTATATATATTTGGAACTCCATCTTTGGTACACTTGGCAGCTGCATGCCTCTCCCAACCAACTGAGGTCCAATTAAAAACCAACATAATGAATCGAGAATAGATTGCTTCCAGTTATGCAGTCCCCATCACTGTGCTCACAAATCTTTGTATTAAAAAAAAAAAAAAAAAAAAAAAAAAAAAAAAAGTGAAAGTAGAAGAAGAATAAGAATACAAACAGATGGAGAAGTAAATTGCTCCAGATAAATCTCTTTCTTTTTCTTCCTGTTTTGGCACAGATGGAATAGACTGTAAAGCATGTTAGTGTATAGGGAAAAAAAAAAAAAAAAAAAAAAAAAAAAAAAACTTATGTTCAAAAGATGTTGGAATAAGTATCCCTTTTTGCCTACAATGGCTTCTTAATTTTAGGGGTTACTGGCAGAGGAACATTCCAACCATAAAAAAAATTGGAAAATTAAATAAAGTTTATAGGAAGCACTTGAGGCCCCATGCAAGTCCAAGTTGGAGAAGAGGGGAGAGGGGATGCAACTCTTTCTGAAATATCTCACCATGTTTGGCTGATGCTTGACTGAGGCAAACTCTTGAAACCCACCACAAACATCTCTCACCAAAGTCTCTCCCCCCAACAAAACCCCATTCAGGAGGGACCTGGGCCCATTCATCAATCACCACCCATGAACATTCATCCACAACAGAGGGGCCCACATTATGCTCGACTCCCAAGGCAATGAGAAACATTCACAGTGACTTGAGCCACAACCCAAATCTGGATTGACCAATCTTCCACCCTACTTGGGTTTGTATGGTGCAAAATATATATTTACTTTCAACCTCAAAAAAAAATTGATGGTTTTTACCTGAGTGGGCATACTAAAAAAAAAAAAAAAAAAAAAAACACTCAAAGAAGATCTGCAGCCATGTCATTGTGACATCTGCACTGAAGTTTCCCATGATCTTTCTTGCCATGAAAATGTGTGGACCAATCGGGGTTTACAGATTTTAGCCTATGGTCCTATTAGGTTCATGTAGTGGGGCTTACTAAGCTTCCCAAGGATGTGGGGCACTGGCCAAATCTGCACTTAATCAAAAACTCTGCTTCCTTCTCCTTGCTGTTCTGGACAAGTTGCAAAGAATGGGGCCTGGTTTCATGGCAGGGCCACACTAACAAACCCTAGTTTGGCACCAAATGCAGCATTCTCATTGTTGTTCAGCACAAGTTGCAAAGAAGGGGGGTTGGTTACATGGTAGGGCCATGCTAACAAACCCTAGTTTGGCACTAAATGCAGACTTGCATGCTCCAATGGACACTGCCCATGTCACTCAATGGGCAAAAAGGCTCTGTTCCAAATTTAGGAGAGGGGAAGTTCCTGTGCCTTTGGACATCAGTGGAGCTGCCCAGTATGCTGGCTGCATTACTCTCTGGTAAACCAATTTTGCTAACTGCACAAAGCATAACATGCAGCCCCATTGTTGGGGTGATTCTTATGGTGGTGGGTCTCCTGCTGAACCCCCCAACCCCTCTGCACCTCCTTTTTTAGGGGGAGCTTGGTTTGGTTTTGAATCTGTATTTCATCTTCTGGTCAAAGCCTCTGGAACCATCTGCCACAATAAGGGAAAGGAAGGGAAACACCACAACTCATACCAAACCAACTCTGACTTCCAAGGATTCCATCATTTTTGGCATCTTGACTTGTCTTTGTATTCAGGGTTATATTTTAGAGGAGGGAGGGGGGGGGGGTGAGCCAATGTCTGGAATGGGAGGGCCCTAGATTTGTAAACATGATGAAGAAACCAAAGGTGAAAAATAGGACCTGGTGTCACAGGGATGGAGGGTCCCCCCCCTCTCGTGTGGTACCTGAGAGTACCCATCACCTCTTCACAAGTGTTGTCCATGGGGAGAGCCCATGGCCATCTAATCCCACTAACAATGCATGAGCCCAAGCACAAAATTTTGGATTTGTGGAGTACTTCTATTCAAAGAGAGGGACCCATATCCTTGAAGAGACTCACTTTGGTTTCCCAGCTTTCAAAGTTTGTAAGTGGCATGACTGGAATTGTGTGAGAAGGTTTACTGCTCCTGCTGGAACAGGCCAGAATTTTTCCCCCACTTTTAAAGCTCAAAGAGAGCCACACATAAAGTTTATTAAAAAATTTAAGTGCTGGTTTGATGAAGTCAAGTGATTAGAAGATAGAACTTTTTCTTGTTGTGGGAAAGAGCTAAACTCATAGCCAAAAATCTTACTTGATCAGTATCTATCTACTTCCCTTTATGACCTGCCTTTTTCCTAAAGCATTTCCTGTCCTTTAGATGCTCCATGATCACTGTGCTGCTGGATTCTACCCAACTCAGGTACAGCATGTTTAGGTGTGTAGTGAATTTCAAGATCCGGAAGTGAAACAGACAGAGGAAATTCTGAAATCTACATACTTACTTTTGAAACATAGCAAAATAAGTTCCAAAGATTTTCACATGGAAAGGGGGGAAATTGAGACAATTTTAACACAATTTTTAAAAATTCAAATGATAAAATATCATCAAAAAAGAAGGTTAAGTGAAAAGGTGAATGCGATCAGAATCCCATGTTTAATGTGTAGTTGTGTGTGTGTGTGTGTAAATATATATATATATATATATATATGTATATGAAGCATGGAATGACATTGCAATATTGCACTGGAAACCATTTTAGCAGCCCCCACCTCCATTCCATCTTGTCCATGTGCAAAGTTATTGGAACAGAAGAGAAAATGAATTCATAGAATATACAGAACTGCACAGAAATGGTTTGCTGCAGGCTACTATTGGAGATTGCAGGCTTGTCTCAATGCACCCTTTTGCTACTCAGTCATGCCTGTGCATAAGTTGGAATGGCAACTGAAAAGAAAGAAAGACAAAGTGGGGGCTGGTCCCTTGTTCCCTTCACTATCAATACTAAACCTAATACTGTGTCAACTGATTGTCAAGAGCTGGATTCCCAAGCAAGCAAGCAACTCATATAGACCAAGACTTAGTCTACTAGCTTTCACAGGAAACCACCTCCACCACCCCCAACAACACAACAAAATGAACTACAAGAGCAGTAAGTAGGAGCAGCTTGACCCCATTGTCAGTCATAATCTAGACCAGAGTATTGTGTGGGGCTTGCCCTACAAGGTCTTGGAAGAAATGGTGAGACTCTTGAGACACTGGCTGTGCAAGTAATTGATTTTGATGGGGTGCTTATCTCTCAATTTCCTTTCTCTCTTTTGTTGGTATTGTCTGTATTGTTGCCAGTAATGACCAGCATGTAAGAATGGTATGTAATGCTCCATACATCAAAGGCTGTGGTGAGTTTTGGCAAAGAGCACAGAAGGGTGTGTGAGGTGTTTGGTCTCATCTCATCTCCTCCAGCAACACTTCAACATTGGACCACCAGTCACAACACACAAGCTTCCAAAGGGCCACCACCAAGTGGCTTTCAAACTTGTAGGCTGACCCCCCCCCCCCCCCAAATAATGCATCCACAATGTAATCATATGTTTTGTAAAGTGAATATGAATGGTAATAATAATCATGCACCTCAAACCATTTTTTATTTTTTATTTTTATTTTTAAATTTTTTGCAACCAAACATAGTTATTATGTAACATCATAACATCATAGTATTTTAGGTATGGAGTTAAATAATTACATTGAATGATACATATTTTACCATTTTCTTGCTATGGTTTGTATCATTTAAATTTCTCAATAACTGTTAGTTGATAGGTATGATATAAACATCAGTAGATGAAATTATAACATGTTCTTGTTGCATATATTTCCAGAGTCATTCACTCCAAATTTGAAATTTTCATGGTTTTTTCTCTTTTAATTTTTTGCTCCACATTTAATTTTCTAAAATTTTAACCAGTAGAATATTCAGAAAATTACAAAAACATACCAAAAAATTGGATCAAATTCAATAACATGTTTCAACTGAACATGAAACATGGACAAATATGTGTTTCTATTCAATCCTCTCCAACCACCATTCACACCACCTTTTGATACATGGGACCCCACCAAGCAACAACATCTGAAAAGGAAAAAGAACAGGGTTATTCTGAAGATAAACATGTACAAAGCATTACTTAACACACACTAGGGCAAACAGTTTCATCAGTTGGGGGGAGGGGGGAGGGGTAATTAGATTCTTTCTCTGCTAATCAAGCCTGGGAAGGGACGAGGACTGAATCACCAATCCATGTATGACACGTGGTAATCTAATGAAGTTCGGTAAATGAGAGGCTCGGTATCCGCTAATGGAGGGAGCTTCCACGGAAGATGGATAGGGCGGCTGACTGCCCTCCAATTATGCATTCCGTGGGGCAGAATCCATCTCCCCACCGGGTTCCCATTGCGCCCGGCCCAGCCCGGCCCGACCAACCCTAGGCGACTGCTAGACAACTGGGAGAAGGCTATTTCTGCTTCATCTTCTTCGTCTTCTTCATCGTTGCTGAGCCTGGTTGAGGGCTAATCTCTACCTATAGGGACGACATCGGTCCACGTCGCCCTCCATTCAGATATTTTCTCGCTGTCTCCTGCCCGCCTGCCCGCCCGAAGTTGCCCGCGAGACCCCGATCCCACCGCAGAGTTCGTTCCCAGGCTGGCTTGCCCTCTATCGCCCTTCGCTCTCTCTCGCTGGCTTCATCTCTCTCTGGTCTTGTGGTCTTTCTGGAGTTTCTCGTGCACTTTCACATGCACACACTCCCACTTCCATTTGCCTGCACTCCCGTCTGGCTAGATTTTTTGTTTGCCTTCCCTTCCAACATCGCCGTTGATACACCGATTCTCCTACAACTCTCCTCGGCTGCCGCCATTCGCCGCTTGTATTGAATCCCGTTGCTGTGCCGCTTCTGAGGCTTACTGCAGCGGATTGGGTCGTTTTTAATTCCATAAATTGGCTGCGTAGCCGTTCCTGTCTTCTGGTGTGTGTTGTGTTGTGTTGTGTTGTGTTTTGTTTCTTTTTTTCACTTCCTGTGTTAAGGTGATTTCGGGTGGTGTTGCTGTGGAGCAGCGACGGAATAGGATTTGGTGGGTCGGAATTGGCTGTGAGGAAAGTGAGTTCAGGACTAGACGGAGGATTAGATTGATCCAGGCATTTGTTTCCGGTGTTGTAGGTGAGGGATTTTGGGGGAGAACCGAGCGGAAAAGGTCACGGCCTTGGTTAGGGGGACGCATTCCCTGGAAGTTCCCTACTAAGTCGATGGGAGCTGAATTCTGCAAAGGTTAAGAAGAGTCAATAGTTTCTGTGAATGATTTCCGTCAGAGTTTAGTACTAGGTGGGTGGCGTAGTATATCCAGGACACCATGCAATTGCCTGCGCAGCAGCAGAATGATAGTGCCGCCCTAGTTGCCACTGTGCCCCATGGCTCCTCAAACGCCCTCAACGGTGGTGGTGACGCGCCGGCGAGCCCGTCTTCACCCGGGTCTCCTTCCAAGAATGCTATCGCTACGCGCGAGAAGCCAGACAAGGTGCTGCCGTGTCCTCGCTGCGAGTCCATGAACACCAAGTTCTGCTACTACAACAATTACAGTGTAACACAGCCCCGCCACTTCTGCAGGCAGTGTCAGCGCTACTGGACCGCGGGAGGGACGCTTCGCAATGTGCCCGTTGGAGGAGGCTCGAGGAAAAAGAGTCGGCATCCAAGGGGAATTGCAGAACCCTACTTGCAACGCTCGGGTGCGTTTGGTGTGGCTAGTTCCGGGGAACAGAGCGCGATGCAGAATGTGGGGTTCCAGCAAATGTTGACGCAGGATATGGTCGGGTTAAACTTCGCTCAGCTGCCAGGATTTGGCCCTCAGAATCCACATCACTACTTGCCTTTCTCAATGGACCACACCCAGGTTGCCTACGTACCCATGACGAACAAGCCGCCTTGCCAGGAAGATTTATCGAACCTTCATGCAATGTATGGAAACGCACCCATGAGCGCTCCCACAGGGGGATACTATCTTGCACCTGAATTGGGAGGTGAGAATTCCGGCAACGCGGTGAAGCCCGAGTTCTGGGTCAACAACATGGTTGCACCGCAGGTGCCGGTCCCGGGAAGCAATCCTAACCAGACGGTTAACAGGAATGGGTGTCTGGACTCATCCATGCTATTGAATTTGGGTCTCAACAATCGACCATCCGCTCAAGTGAGCGGCAACGGAAAGCCCGTATGGGACCAGCAAGATGTGAAGCGCCCTCTTTCGCAGCAGAAAAACGGATCGCCGCCGCACGGTTCTAGCACCATAGAGGAAGAGGGGAGCACTCCCACAAACGAGTACTCCAACAGCGGATACGAGGAGGGCGACACTGTTTCCTCGATGTGGAATGACATGCAACATGACATGGATAACATATTCCAGTAATGACGATGTGGTGGAGTTTGTCAAGGCTCTTTGTTTTTCGGTCGCGGAAGTTGAGAGTTAGAGGTCCCGTGACGATTCATTCTTTGGAGGGAGCGATACACCTGTAAATTACACTTTTCTGTACATTTCCCCCTTTTTATAATGTAGGTTTTGGGATTTTCTTTGTTGCTGCTTTGCGGGAAGTTGTGATCTATTGAATGTTCAAACACGGATTTGTGAATAGAGAACTGAGTTAGAGAACTGCGCCTTGAAGTCATCTGAGTTAGTGGCATTGACTATTCATGCGATGCGGTCCTCTCTCCCCTTGTGATCGGATTGTGCATGTAATATATATGGACTTTGTGTAAGCTTCAAGGTTAAAGCTCGTATTCTCCTCAGGTTCCTATCATTCGTGAAATGAAGTGCCCAGTGCCTGTAACCAGCTATGGTGATTGTTTTCGCGAAGTGAAGGCCGCGGATTGATTCAACAATTGATGACTACTTTGTGTGATGTCTCTTGTATCGAACTTTGCAGCAAATTTTTGTGTGGCTAGATTTCTTTACGCTGATATGTCTGAGAGCTGAGAGGGATCACGTCTATGGTCTTTTCAAGTGTAATATTGATCTTGACCTCAACAGAAGGCAAGGGGTGAAGCAAGCGACACGCTAAGATTTGTGAGCACTCCAGTGATCACAGAGACCATTGTGAGGGCGCCGCAGAGACTACTTTCCACGTTTCAAATGGTGTGTATAGTTGTCCCCAACTTCTCTGTTGAGTAGCAGAATGCCTGGAGTGTCATCTTTCTTCCTTCTACAGTCTGCGAAATGAAACTAGGTACCTCGTCCTTTTTCCAGAGCAAAATTTGGGTGGGTAAGTTTAACCTACGAAATGGGAATTCCATTACTATCAGGAGCCAGAGGTTCCCTACCGGTTGCGACCAAAGATTGCACGAGTGCTTACAGCACTACTTGGAGAGAGGTGTACTTAGAGGTACGTTACGATTGAAGTGGAGACAGCCTAGAGTTGACTGCCTACTCAACATCCGTGACCCTTCGCTATTAACCCATCGACATTATGGGATACGGCAGCGTTAAGTGCCTGTGGACAAGTACAGAAAGTTGTCTGTTGCGTACTGTATCAAAATAGTGAGGTAGATCTGCTGGATCAGTGAATTTTCAACTTCTCGTGCTCTTGCCATATAGAATCATAACACAACAGCATAACTTTGCTTCATCATGTTAGTAATTATTCTCAGCCGTTGACAATCTTCTTAGGCGTCCGGCTCTCCCCTTACAACTTCGTCTGTCCAGTCTGCTGCGAGTGCTAACGGACTTTATCCTTAATTGAAACAATTCTCTAAACTGTTAGCTTCACTGAATGCTATAATTAGATGTTAAGTGTAGTGAATAGTGATGACAGCAGATGACAGACGTTAAGAGAACACGCAATTATTCAAGAGCTTTAGCCCCGGTGTGGAGCAGCTAACGTCATGATTGGAAAAACTACCCGTGATCCTTGAATGGCACTTCAGATGTAGTATGTGGCTGGCTGGTGGACCAAGATCATGCTCAAGCCATTAAGTAAACACTTGGTAAAGAAAAAACATCGGAGGCGACCCTGAATCAATCCCAGAACAAAAATACACTAAAGCACGAGAACTTGCACCCTGGAAAAACTGATACATTATTTCTATATTCTCGGTTACACATCACAATTACAACCACCGTCGTCATATCCAGGCATCCATTAGGGCCCGATCAACAGTTGTGTTGGAAAAAGAACTGGATCGACATCGTATACCAGGTGTGGGCTAATAAATCCACTGTACAACTAGGTACGTAAGTGCGTACACTAGAATGCGACAGAGGCTACCCAGAAGTGCTCATAGAGGAAAGCATCGCCATGCGGATCAGCGAACGTCTGTGATAGAGGATACGCTGCTTGCGATACGTTTGAATGAATTCAAGGAGCTCTATTTCTCCTGCTAGAAATTCGCGATGCAGATTCTCAGATTCTTCATCAGTTTCATTTACAGCATCTGCAAATCCGAACCCAAACGTTAGAGCATGTAGAGGTAATTTTCTCTATACATCTATTGCACTGAATGAAACGTTTCTAGAATTCAAACGCACCCTGAAGTTTTGAAAGAAGGACAGATGGCGAGCAATTGGCTTGCACCTCCTTGTACCGCCTATCAACTTCCTCAAACTTTTCTCGACTAGCAGCAAGCTCTGTATTCCTTATGATCATGCACTGTGATACGAGAAGAAACGCATGAGGAAAAAAAAATAAACATCAGACATATCTCCCTTGACATATGCTCGAGATTGCAGTTTTTTCTGTTCTTTTTTTGGTTGATAAGCACCAAAATTGCATGAAATTGACCTTCACTCAACATTCATAGAAGATAGCAAAGGGAATAAATACTAAATAAGAATTAATGAAAATAGAAAATCAGACTATGTGCTACACTTGAAATAATATCTACTTTTTCTCATTCTAATACCATACTTGAGCATGAATAAATAATCAACGGAATAAGGATAAACATTATGACAATTATACCTGAGTCCTGAGCTCAGCGAGTTCCGACTCCCTAGCCAAATTGTTTCCTGCTCATTACAGGTTGCACGTGAATGACGCAGCAGCTACAGAAAACACCATGCTACACTATGGCAAAATGCCTACGAAAAAATGAGAAATGTTTCAATGTTCATCAGTTTCAACACTTAGAGAGAGCAGCAAAGTTACGAACTCACTTGATTCATCTATAGTAGACTTCTTCAGTTCAGCGGCAATCTGGAAATTCCCACACAATGTGGTGAGACGACGTAGTCGTTCAACGTTACTCAACTGAGTGAGCCAAAGCATACTGACACAAGTCTAGAGAAATTTCAAATTTATTATAAAGGCAAACCTACATGAATCAAATTTGACCAATTACAAAGATTTATAGTTAGGCAACCATTTATAGTTAGGCGCAAAGGATCAAACATTGAAAAAAAATACAGGCAACCATGTTTGACGGCAGTTTCATAGAGATGACGAATGGATGAAATACTAAGTTCAAAAGCACAACATATTTCTTGAATCTAGCTGAAAACAATACAGATACCACACTCTGAAATATATAATAAGAAATCACAAAGCAATGCACGCAAAAAAAAAAAAAAAAAAAAAAAAAAAAAAAAAAAAAAAAAAAAAAAAAAACTCGATTTTAGACTTAAGTCACAAAAGTTATCATATGTCTTCAATACGATCCTCCAAAGTTGTCCTCCAACGACAGATAGAAAAGCCGTTGAAGCACAAACGATTCCTACATCCTGATCCGCATAGACTGGTTCATGACTATGAGTAAGCACCGTATCCAGCCGCCTCACTTCATCAAGTGAGTGTAGAAACGCATTATATGCATCTTTATCATTCAGCAATCTGGTCAGCTCCTCTGGACTGCACATGTGGAAAAATAAAATCAAGAGATGTAAATAAATAAAATTATCACTTGAGTGGAGAAATACACCACCAGCACTACCATCGTATCAAAAACTTGCTGGACCTACGTCATTTCTAAGAATAGTTCGTGTTCGCCCCAAGAACCTGAAAGATCGACAAAATTCGGCACGATAGATTTGTCCCTCTATAATGTTCTTACACTTGATCGACTGTTGCTTTGAAGTGAAGTGACACAAAAGGATCAAAGCGCTCAGGCCAAGACCACGGCCAATCTATTGAACTCAGCGTCAAAACTATGTCCGACGTAGCGATTAAACAACACCAATCAATACTGCAGGATGAAAATAGCTGCTAGATGTATTGCTCTTTTAGCCACTAGGTACAACACGAGTCTTCAAAACTTCTAATTGTCCTTCACTAGATAATGCAAATATGCCAGTTCTGGGGGCAGAAACGTCACCTCTTTTCTTTCAAGCTTGATACAGAATTAGGAGGCGCTGCATTTGACGGATATGACATGGAAGACGAAGCCGACGCACTAGTTGGTGTTGAATAACCTCCAGTATAGGATCCAGCTGAAGTACTTGAAGGATGGCCAACCGAAGTTGGGCGTGCTTCAGTAATAGCCGTCCGAGAATGAGGATTATTTCCTGAGGTATGAGCGCCTAAATTTGGAGAAGGAAGAGGTGGTGGCGCGCGAGTTGGTTGGCTACTAGATGGAGATGCAACTGAAGGAGGGTACCAGCTCTGTGCGGGAGGGGGAGGTTGTCCCTGCTGCTGGTGCTGACCACCCCTGCTTTATAAGTTGATAAGTAAAGATATCATTTATTAACATTCGATAACTGGGCAGAGTATTCAAGAACACCGCAAAACCAGAGCTAAGCAAGATTAAAAATTCACCCAATGAAAGAAGCTACAGTCAATCGATGGACGTCTGCTCAGTAAAACATTTGTAAAGGAGTACAATTCCACGATTCCTCTTCAGGTAGACTCAGACTTGCGCTTCACTCGAATTCGGGAAAAGCATGGGACTATACAATTCCTCTCTAGTGTATGCAGATTTGCACTACACGCAGTCCCAATGTGCAAAACACACAACCATCGGGAAAAAACTCAAGTTGTGCACGTTAACCTTCACCCTACTCTCTGAAAACACACCATCATGAAGCCAAGCTCTTAAAAAACCTTACACACGAGAAAAAATCCCATGCTCACTACACTTTGTTAAGTTCGACGTAATATGCCTATGTGACAACTCCAGACAACCACTGAGAACGATACCCTAAGCGTAAACAGATCATTCGGTGAAAGAAAATTACAACGATTACCCGAGTTCTGCGGACCCTACACTAGTATCCCCAGAAGAAAGAAAAAAAAAAAAAAAAAAAAAGAAAGAAAGAAAAAAAAAAAAATACAACCACCAAGGGCCACCTTCAAATAAGCTCCCCAAATCGTTTAATATACGCACGATCGCGCATGATCAATACCCGCAATTGCACAAACTAGAATTTAACTCCCGTGTGAAGCATTGATCGATTTTCCGACACAACATAACGCAACCGGAATTGAATTCGTTCTAGCTAGAAACTGAACCGCTTCGAGCGAAATTTGCACTTACGTACCTGGAAAATATACCTAATATGTTCATGGATGGTCAGAGGGGCAATTAAAGTGATGATCTGCAACGGGGAGCAGCAATCAATCCAGATGTGGCTCTCGAAAAAATGCGCTCTCTCTCCGAATCGCCAGTTCTCGCTCCAAACTCTGAAACCCTAATGCTTCCCGACTAGATCCAGTTGGTTTAATACCCGACCCGGTTAAATACCCGGAACCGTTCTGGAACGAGGCGATCGTCACAGTCCAGGTTCGCGACAAGGGGCACCAAAATGAGTGTGCTGGGAACTCGCGTTCACAATGAATGCGACGTAAAATACTTTTGGATGAATGTCGTCGATGAGATGGATTCAACCGAATAGGCTCTTGATTTGTACATTTTAATAAACTTGTGGAGAAGGAAATTGTAATAAGAATATTGGAAACACTGCCCTATCGTGACATCTTTCATAATTTAATTTTTTAAATTATGAATATTTATAGTAATAATTTTTATTAGAGTGAAAACATTTCAGAGATACACTTTTGCTGAAAACTTTGGCATGATTGCTCATGTACACTTGTTCGATTTTCATTAAAATTGTTCTTTGATGAATTCTGATTCTATCGGTAATTTTTATACTTAAAAAATATTATTTTCATAAAGGAGCTCTAGTTTCAACATCATAATGGAACCTATAATTATAATTATTTTTTCAATAAATAACATTATAATTTTACTATAATTTTATAATTGAGATTTTAATAATATGATTCATTTTTCATTAATGTGTCAGAATATAAATATAAATATATATTTTCAAATTATATTTAGTTAGTTGTATTTTAAAACTATTAATGAAATTAATTTTTGTAATTCTTTGATGCAGTATTTGCATTGTGCTTCATTAATATGATTAGATATAATTTATTATAGTAGTTAATAGCATCAACATCAGAATTGGTGCATTAAAAGTTCATGCTTAAATCATGAAACTATCTTGCATATTAAATGCCTCTTATTTTAATAAATTATATGTATATAAAAAAGACTAAATATTTTTATATATGTATGAATGAGTTTCTTTAATAAAAACTACAACATGTTTATTTTGGTATGACTATGTTATCAATATATATATATATATATATATATATATATATAATACTTTTATTTTAGTTAAATAAATTGGATTATTAGAAAAAAATTATTTTTAGAAAAAATTAAGTGTGTTTTGGATGTTGATATTATTTATTTCTTAAAATATATTGTTTCTATAGTTTTTTGTTCTTTTTGTTTTTTTTGTTGTTGTTGTTGTTGTTGTTGTTGTTTTTTTTTTTTTTTTTTTTTTTTTTTTTTGTTTGCTAAATTAGTATATGTAATATAATGGATCTATATACATGATGCATGTAGTATTATTTATGTAATTAAAGTTTTCCTTACAAAGATTTTAATAAAAAATGGAAGGAGATTAGAAGCAATGCCCTCCACAGCATAGCATTCTCACAGCATAGCATTCTCACAGACATTCATATTTACAAAAATAAGGATTATTACATAGATAATAAATATACATGGCTTGTGGTACAAATTGGTCATGTGGTACACATATAGGAAACTTATCTTACAAATTAGACATGTGTCTTATAGGTTGAACATTACTTGGAGGTCCTATAGAACGTCACAATGTAGCTTTTAATTAGATAGTATATATGGATAAAAGAATAAAACCTTATTTATTCTTGTCAATTCATTTCTAATCTTTGATCTTGTCTTAAGAATCTCTAGTCTTTTTTTCTTTTTTTATAGCCATTCTAGTATTATATTAAACTAGAATAGTATACTATACTTGACAGAGGTAGGAATAGATTTGTAACTATTATAATTTTTTATAAGAATTTCAATATTATTAGGATAGAAATTTAATATATTACCAATACCATCTGTAGAAGTGTTATTCTTACACCTATAGAAGAAGTCAATGATGAAGTTCATAATCTATGCTAAAAAATTGTGTAATTAAAAGAAATAAATAGATGAAGCTTATAATTGAATTTAAGAAGTCTTATTACTATAAATATAAAGAAGATAAGAATAAGTATACTAGAGTAGATTAATAGAATAAGATTAAAATTTTGAGGATTTTTACAACAAGTCATGCTTGATTTAAGGTTATATCTCTTCCAATACCTTAATGGATTTGTTCAAGTTGGACTTATAAGAACATTCATATTTAGAAGTGTTCTCATTTGATTTGCATCCTTCATGGAAAATGATTTATGACTTTTCTATGATTTTAATTTATTTGTGAAAGAATTTTTGGCTGTATTTGGAAAAAATGATTGAAAAATGGTAGCAGAGATCAAACTCCTATCTTTATGACAAAGATCATGTTTAGCCACTATATATGTTGCAAAATTCCAAAATCTTACTTGCGACATAGATTAGAATGACAAAATCCTTATCAACCAATTTCAATATGAATTGAAAGATAATATGAAAGAATTATTATTAACAATTCCAAAAGCATAATCATTATAATAATTTATTTTTTAAGCTATTGCATATAATAATTGATTTTTTAGTAGATATCAAGAATAAAGATTTGGTTTAAGAGATACAAAATCAAGTCATAACAAAAACTTCAAAGTTTTTAGAAACTTACTTATTAAAATCAAAACCAATGTAAATTTATATAATATGTTTTAAATCTCTTAATAAGTAAAAAAAGACTCGAAGTTATTAAAAAGGTTTGTACTCATATTATAAAGAATCTAAGTACATTGTTGAATATTATCTAAATAAGCAATGTAGTCACAAAATGAGGATCATAGTTGCCAAAGAAGATATTATGTGAAAAAACAAATTTTTTTAGCTATAGTAGGAATTATATGGTTGAAATCTTGTAAAATATCCACTAAAGGTCTTATTTTCTTTTCAAATTCCTTATCTAATTTTACAATAGATGTTTGTTTAGAACCTAAAATTTATAAAGTATTTGCCTTATTAACTTCAAGAGTCTTATCTTATTTTATAAACAAAGACTTTGTTAAAAAATATTAAAAATATTTTTAGATAAGAAAATTAGACTTATGCATGTAAAAAACTATGATTATTCAATTGATCTTCAAAAAAAAGCTCAACCGTTATTAAGACCAATCTACAACTTATTATAAAATAAATTGGCCATACTCAAAGAATACATTAATAAGAATCTGGCAAAGAATTTTATATGCCATTCTAAATTTCTAGCATGAACTTATATCTTATTTGTAAAGAAAAAAATTGGATCATTGTAGATATGTGTAGATTATGAAAAATTCAACAAGATTACCATTAAGAATATGTATTCTTTATCTTTGATTTCAAGACTTCTTAATGAATTAAATCATGCAAAGATCTATATAAAAATAAGTCTACAAAGAACTTATAATTTGATATACATAAAAAATTAGATGAATAGAAGATTGTATTTTGAACCAAGTATAGATATTTTGAATATAATATCATACCTTTTGGATTCAAGAATATAATTTTTTTTTTCAATATCTTATGAATGATATTTTTTAAGAGTTTTTAAATGATTTTTTAATATATTATCAAGGTGATATTTTAATCTATTCTAAGAATACAAAAAACACAAATTTTATATTTGTTATGCATTACAAAAATTAAAAGATATAGAATTATATGCTAAGATAGAAAAGTATATATTTTACACAACTCAAGTTGACATTTTAGGATATATCATTTTAAATGATGGCTTTATGATGAATCTTTAGAAAGTTTAAACTATTATGAATTAAAAAACTCCAAAAATAATAAAAGACGTACAATATTATTTTTAGAATTTTTTAATTATTATTAAATCTTTATGAAGAATTTTTCTTAATTTGCAACTCTACTTATAGATTTGAATTATAAAGACAAACTTGAGTGGAATAAAGCAATTGAAGTAGCATTTGAAGCTTTATGAATATCTTTTATTTCAATACCAATCTTATATGCCATTAACTTTTCTAAGATATTTTTTATGAAAATAGAAGCATTAAATTTTGCTTTAGATAGGATATCACTATAAATGACAAGAGTTGACAAGCTTTATCTAGTAACTTTTCATTCTATAAAACTTTCAAAATCTAAGATCAACTATGAGATTCATAATAAAGGACTTATTGCAATTGTGGATTCATTTCAAAAATAGTGCCATTATTTAGAAGGCATCTCTAGTCTAATCATTATATATATTGATTATAAGAATTTCAAATATTTTATGTCAACATATGTTCTAAATTTTCGCCAAGTCCATTAGAGCATATCTTTGTGAAGATTTGAATTCAAGATTACTTATTGACTAGGAAAATAAAAAGATTTATCAAATGCATTTTCTAAATATTCTTATCTTGCACCAAAAGATTTTTTTTTTTTGAAGATAGAGTAATTTTATATTTAAGTAATGAAATCAATTTTGATTTTTGATTTAGTCTTTTTTAAGAAAATTTAATTAAGTATGTACCTTGATCCTTTTATTTATGATGTTGAGTTTCATGATACTTCTTTGAATTTAAAAATAATATACTTCATTTTGAAAGATGCTTATATATTTTAAAAAATAAAATATGAATATATGCTTTTCAAGCTTGTGACAACTTTCTATCTATATAATATTTTGAATACAATAAGACTTTGAAATTAATATCCAAAGATTTTTGGTGGCTTCAAATATGAAGGGCAATTAAAGACTTTATATTATCATGTAACATTTGCTCAAAATCAAAAATTCTATGTCATCAACTTTATAGATTATTTTAAGCATTACCTATTTAAAAATAAATATGTTCTTTTATTTCTATAGATCTTATAATAGGTCTTTTAATTTCAAGTTTATATAAATCTATATTTATTATTATAAATTATTTTACAAAGATGATACATATTATCTTATATACAAAATCTATTATAGATTAAGAAACAACTATTTTTTTGATAATATCTATTATTATTATAAATCATCAAAAGATATTATATTGAATAAAATAATCAATTTATATCAAAATTTTGAAGATAGACATAAAACTATCTTCGGCTTTCTATCCTCAAACAAAATAAGTGAATCAAGTTTTAGAAAAATATTTAAAATATATCATCAACTACTATTAAGATGATTGAATAATTCTTTGGCTA